TGTGTAAATTGTAAATCTCAAATATGAAATATACGCATTAAATATCCACATTTGATCCAGTGGTTTTCAAGTATTTCAAGTATAGAGTATTCAGACATTAATTTTAGGCTAAGCAATCTCTGCTCACAGATTCAGCTTGATATGACAAAACCCGCAGCAGGTCTTTCTCTATGTCTCCCTTTGGTGTGTTTATATCTTCTGCACAATCTCCATGGGAAGTGAGTCTGCTGTAAAGAGTCTCCAGGCTCTGTGAAAGTATCATTCTTAGTTTCTTATTCTCAGAGTCACTAAATTAGAATAATAATCATTGGTATTTTCAATGTTCCAATATACAGTGGCTGCATGTATATTATATTTTATTAATTAATTTATTTATTTTTGCATACATGCAAAGTCTATTTTTGTTGCTTCATAGTGAGATTGCATTCATACTGTACGTACATTGACAGCAAGGCTCAAAAAATCTTCAGCAACTTTGGGTTTTTTGCAATCAAGCCATGTTCTTCCCGTTTTACTCGCCATCTGAGGAAGACATTTTAGAGTTACAGTAATATACACAGTAATAAAATATGCCAGAAACAATGCAAAAAGATTGAAATTAACAAATCTACTGTTGGAATTTATACAAGCTAAATGGATAAAAACAAAACAAAAACAGATGTCACAAACCAGTATCTGCTTGCGAACAATATTCTCTGATGGGTTCTCAGGCCCGCATAAATACAGAAGTCTGCATGCCACATGACGCACTGAAACATGTGCAGTGAGTTAAACAAATTAGTAGTTTATCAAATAATTGACATCTGTGCAAACATCTGGAGATAGACTTTTTTAACTTTCTTTTGTTGGTACAGGAAAAAATATCTATATGGCAAAACAGAAAGACCGATGATTGGCAGATACACAGATATATTAATAGACATATACAATAATAGAGAAAAAAGACCTTTGGCCTTTTGCTCTTCTGTAATAGTTGAGCCAACACGTTTGGTCACTGCCCAGTTCCACAGCTGTATGGCGATTTCCTCCAACTACAAAACACAATTGCATTATTTATTACAGATTAAACCATAATTACGACGTTTCTAAGAAGCTTTGAGTTAACTTACTTTAAAAAATAAATAAATAAAAATGAGTTATGTCAAGAAAACGAGAAAATACGAGAAGACCTGATCGCCATAAACCAAGACAGAAAAAAATCATCACATGATCTCTTGTGGCCTCCGACGGTTTCAACTGAGGTGGGCACTGCACACCTGTGAATCCTGTAGTTTTGCTGCTGCATCTAGAGTTGAAATCGCTTTGAAGAGAGTCTCAATCACCTCATCCAAATGTGAATCGATCTGTCTGTGGAGAAGTTTCTCTGACAGGTCTGTGAAAGAGACAGAGTCAGCCTTCAAACACGAAACAGCTTCACGTACTGTGCTAAATCACTTTATGACAAGGTAAGCTGAAATAATTACAACAGATAGTGCTGAAATTACCAATAATATCCATAAGAGATCAGTTATTTTATAAACGTGCGTAACGTTAACAGCTAACGTTAATCTCTGACAGAGCTAACTGACACAAATCTTCCACAAAATAGATTCTTACTTTTTACATCGACAACAAACTGCTCCATATTATGGTCAGGTTTGTGTATTTTAATACATAAGTCGAGTAACGTAATTTAAAACGGTCGAATATATTTTGTCAGTATTTTCTGTGTGTCAGTGACAGAAACACGACCCCTCGCGACCGTCCGCCGCCAAAAACACGCACGCGCTGCAGTACGAATGTAATTCTACTGTATGGCCACAAGGTGGTGTCTCACACACGGTTATGTATTTACCCCTCATTCACTTCTCCCTCACATATTTCACATGTAGATTTAAGCAAATTTATTGGCGTGGTAAAAACAAATCTTATCATTGCTACAAAAAAAAATATTTAATTTTTAAAATACAATTATTTGTCACCATGGACTACAAAACCAGTCATAAGAGTCTATTTTCTTCAAATTGAGATTAATACGATGAATAAATAAGCTTTCCATTGATGTATGGTTTGTTAGGATAGGACAATATTTGGCCGAGATACAACTATTTGAAAATCTGGAATCTGAGGTTGCAAAAAAAAAAATCTAAATATTGAGAAAATCACCTTTAAAGTCGTCCAAATGAAGTCCTTAGCAATGCGTATTACTAATCAAAAATTAATTTTGGATATATTTACGGTAGGAAATTTACAACATATCTTCATGGAACATGATCTTTACTTGATATCCTAATGATTTTTGGCATAAAAGAAAAATCGTTAATTTTGACCCATACAATGTATTGTTGGCTATTGCTACAAATATACCTGTGCTACTTATGACTGGTTTTGTGGTCCAGTGTCACATGTTTTTGACTTTTTTGTAACATATGAGATTAAAATGTACACTGTTTAAAATAGCTAATAATATTAATACTATTAGGCTATATAAAATACATCAGCTAAAGGACAGATGTAAGTCAAAAATAAGCATTTAAGTTAAATGTACTACTCTTTTCACACATACACGACTGCATATTCAGAATTGCCAACTCTGTCCTGTTGAAAGATTTGGGCATTATGGTATAATAGCATTGTTTAAGGATAATATTCATCACCTTCTGGTAGTTAGAACCTCATTCACCCCCAAGAAAAGATGTGTTGATAACGCTGGAGTTTTTGTTTTAACAGGGGAGGTCATTGTTGAGCTGAAGGAAAGAGCTCAAGCTGCGTACACAGAATCGGTTGTGGACTCTCTTATTGTGTTCACTGCACTAGATTCAAAAATAAGATGTCTTAAAAGCCCACTCCTCTCGAGTGCTCGGCTTCCAGCAATTGTTTCTGCCTGAGTCTTATCTAGCCACCGTGCTGGCCTGAGGGAAATGCGATCAGTTCAGAGGGCTTGATTGCACAGGAGAAAGAAAAAACAAACATGATCCCTATGACATGTGGTCAGAGAGATGCACACAAGATTTCCTAAAGTCTGTTACATAAATAATATAAAAATAATAATAAACAGGCATATTTATACACTTGTGCCAGATAAAAAAATACGTCACCTCAACAGACCAGAAAACATGACCAGAAACATCTTAGCTATTAGACCCCCCCCCCAACAAAAAAATTCATAATAAAAAAAAAATGACATCGTTCTCTCTTCTGACTGCCGTTATCAGTCTCTCAATTTTTTTTCCTTTTTTTGAAAGTCGTGAAAACACTATTGTGGAGTTTTTCATTTGCTATTTGAGCAAATGGAAATGCAAAAAATATATTTGTGGTACTCTCCCATTCACCCAACTATGACGACTTTCACTGCTGAGAAACCTGGAAATGTGAAAATAATAATACAGTTATTACTTTATAATAATAATTATATATATATATATATATATATATATAATACGTTGTAAAATAAAATATGATCAATTTACATCACACCTCATCAAAAATAGGTGAAAATGCATACAGATTTTAACAAAAACAAATAAAAAATAAAAAGTCTGCATAAACATTGCAGAACAAAATATAATTTATAAAATATGTGACATCCCACTTCATCAAAAATAGGTTGAAATAACTACATCCTTAACATAAGCTACCTTCATTGTTTCTGAGTAACAGAAGTAAATAAACTGGTAAACTATTATCAGTGGCCCTTACATTTCACATTAATCACATTATCCACCAATCAGTGGGAAGAAAAACTCATGTCTTTTTAACAATACCTCGTCAGTGACCAACTGTAATTTGGACATTTTTATTTCTGTTTAACAGATTTAACATCCTGTGCATTTGAAATAATATAGATGGAAGGACATGAATGGACAATGCAATGCCGTACGTTGCGGGTAGCGTGTCCCCATTCATAGCATCAAAAAGACAAACGGTCGGTGGTGCATCCACACACCATGGGGTGTTGGAAGGTGAAAAGAAGCCCCATGATTATTTACTTTGATATAAAATTAGCTGCACATCCTGTTGCTAAAGTTAAAAATAAACCCTGTAAATATTTTTCCAAGGTATTTTGACTGATATGTTATCAGACAATGCCTGTTTACCTTTGCACCTAGATATTTTAGGGACTGCTGAGGTTTGAAAGATGTTAGTTTAAAACGAGTAAAAGCCTCTTCACATTCATAGAGGCATTTGGGGTGGGATAATTCACAGAGATAAAATAAATCTTTCATTTAATCAGACAGAAATAGCACAAACATTTAATTAATTTAGATTAATACTAGACAAAATATCTTAATAGATATATGTGGGTCAATTTCGTAGGAAAAGTGCGCGTGGAGTGAACTGGAGTATCGCTGCAGGGTTACTATGGTGACGTTGCGTCCTTCCGTCCCTGCTTCACTCATATAAAGCCTTCGAGAGGGAAACCCCAGCAGAAAAGCCAAAGGCGGTGGTGTGGTTTATCAGTCGGTTGGCATTAGTTCTTTCATCGTTATATTATTGTTAGACCTTCTTTACAGAGTCTAGTTTTCGAAATTTCATTCACTCAGTTTTAGGAAGGAAGAGCAAACGTCGCACCTGCCCTCGGGAGTAGTTTGGTGCACCGGGGCAGGCGCTGTACCATGCGATACCTTTACAGTCACTGAGAGACTACGAGAGGTGTTTTCACTCCAGAGGCATCACTGAAAGAACAGTCTCTGTCATATCAGCGGAAACTATACGCATTTACACTATACTGGAACAATTTAACCGCTCACCGAGAGAAATAACAGTAGCCTACTTGGACTATTACCGCCGAATCCAAATAGGCTATAAAGTGACAGCTGATTACACGGAATATCCTTATTTTAACGGACGAAATGACCTCTGTTCAAACCTCAGTGAAAGGCTTCTTCACTTTTCAGCTGCTTCTCAATTTCTTCTCAAGTGGTAAGTGCGCGCTTTTTGTCATTTTTCTGCGCGTAAAGTGAAGCTGCAGGCGATCTTTGGCTCTCTGTGGCTGCTGTTGTACAGACGCGGTTTGAAGTTCAGGTGTTAACTTTATGGGCATTAATTGATCTTTATGTAAATGGATGAAAACCTTTTAGTATTTTGCTAGAATAATAGCCTATCTGATGCCATTGAATTACTAGTCGGCTGTTTATTAATAGATCTGATGATTTTCATTCTAGAAAATATATTACGATATGTTCGGTTGTCGTGAGTTTATTGCACCTTTCAACCTATTCCGACGTTAATTACTGAAGAAGAGACCATTATGAGAATTATTGTGACAGATTAAATGGATGGGAACAAATATGTTGACACAATGATGTCTTTTGATGCAGTGGTGACATTTTACGGAGTTTTTGTACTATAAAAAAATATAGGCTACGTAACTTATCCGAAGGAATTAAATTTAGTGATTTTATAATGATCATTTTATAGAAATATTAAAATATAATACTTTTTTCTCTCATTCTTTAAAGGTAACCTACCTTGATGTCATTGGCTATGTTTCTCAAAAACGAATGTGCTGCCTGTGCCTATCCACTAATTGTTTGGTACTTCATTTTGGGGATCATATGTGCCAAATGCATTGTTAGAACCCATTTTTGGGTCCTAGATTTTGTCTAGGTAGGCAGCTCACTGGGTTTTGAGACCCAGTCATCAGCGGTCTGTACTCTGTTACTAAATTAAATGCTCAGTTAGAAAGCAGGAGGGGATCTCTCCCTGCTGGGGTTTAAATCCTTTTACTGATGTTTGCTCATTTTTCTGGTGACCCCAATCATTCCAGGGACCCCCAGTTGCCACCACAGCTAATGATGGAAGAACAGTTGGGCAGTGGGCACTTCTTGAATTCCTCCATTGTCTGGAACTAGTTCGTTGTTACAAGTCATTATTTACTAGTTATTCCAAGAATGAACACACATTGTGTTTGAAATATCAGGTGTGTTTTTGATAACATTCAAAACAATTTATTGTGAATGGGTAGTATGGGCACATCTCCAGTTCCAGTGTTGTTCTCAAGTTTGACAAGATAGTATGTGTTTATAAGAGAAAGTATATTGTTGACTCTGGCTGCTTGGACTTCTGGCTGCATCTCCTTATAAACAAGATGGATAGTAAAATATGGATGCCATTGTTCATTGTGACATAGTAGTGGTACACTACAGATACAGGTCTTCCTCCTGCTGTCCAAACAGAGGAAATACTGCTCCCCCCATGACTTTTTGGGTCTTCAAGCTTTGTCTACAAGGTCTCCAAGTAGATTTCCTTCGCTGTCCTTGTGCCGAGCGTGGGAAAGACACATGAAGGAAGCGGATGGAGAGGCAGGAGGCACCCTGGAATTGTTCTGGCAGTAGAGGTCACGGAAATGTGACACGCTACCTGAGTAAAGATTCCTTCCCCAGACTTCATGCTTGCTCCTCTACTCCAAATGTGTGTCAGTCGCCCCACCTCAAGACAATGGTAGAGAGGAAGAGCATGCCATTATATTTTATATGTTAGGAGTGTATGGTTAATCCATTAGACAAAAATAGGCCATGGAGACATTAACCGTATCCCATTTTTGGTGGTCACTGTGATTATTACATTTAATACCAATTTTGTAAGCTGAATTGTATTAATTTATCCATGTAGTGCAACTATATATTGTGTTGACTGATATGTCATGTGATTTCTTAAGAATTAAACATTCAGTTGAAACTGTTACATTGGAAATACAAAATGAGTCAGAGCCACTAGTCAAACTCAGCACTAGATCTATAAATTGGACTTTAGAGAAGTGAAACACATTTTGACTTGGCTGTTAGAAGTTACTTGCAGGAATGAGAAGGATTAAGGATAAAATCTGTTTTAAGTAAGAGAAATATCCAATAATGCTGCTCTGTAGAGAGATATAAGACATCTTGAAATGATCCAGATATTGCCCAGGGCTCTGTTTTTTGCCAAATTTTGCTGAACCATTTAAAGGTTAAAATACTCCAGGAATTTTACACATCTGAGAACACTCTGCATTGCATTACTTTCCAGAACTCACTGAATATGTGCTATCCAACTCATACTTGCTCCGTTAACATCACAACTTTGCAGTAATACAATATTTAATTACTGACAAATTAGGTCTGTTTTACATTGCATGCATAAGCATTGCATAACTGCAGGCTCTCTTCGTGCTTTAAGTCTGGAAGCATTTATGCTGCAAAACAGAGATATGGCTGCATACAGAAAATAAAATGATGTCTGATATCTTGATAACAGACATACATTTTCAAATGCTTATCAGGAGTTGGCCATTGAAAACTATTACAAACTGAAAAGTTGTTACATTTTATTTGCATGAGGAAGTTGAACCACATTTTAATTCAAATGATAATGAATCTACACGGAACATAACCTAAACTGTAGCTGTGTATAGCTTGCAGCATGTGCATCAAGCCTGACAGACATTTTTCTCAAACAGTGGAGTAGTTATTTATGTTGCTTAATAAAAGCCTACTGTATATTGCAGATGATTTAATTAGTATTCTGCTAAGTTCATATGTATAGTCAAAATAGATTACGAACTGAATCTGTACTTGCACCTTGCTATGCAGAACTTACTTAAGCAGTGTAAATACAGTAAGCTATTAATATGGGTGACATACTTAGTTGTTTGAACATGTTATATACAAAATAGTGCCTGGTTTAAACTTGCTCAGTGTGATTTCTTTCTGAATTACATTTTATTTTCCAGGCTCAGGAAGAAACATAATGTTCCTTCTGAACAGCCGTTCAACAGCAGTGCATGTTGGGAGGAATACAGTAGGTAGGGGTCAGCCAAGTGCAATTCAAGCTCATCCACTCAGCGGTGGGGTGGCGCGCAAGTACAGACTGTGCACAGACGTCCTTCTTTCTTTCTTTCATGATTTTTGGCTTGCTTGCTTTCTACGCATTTGCAGTCTTCTCCATTTTCTCCCTTAATTAAACATAAAAACATTATAGAGATATAACAATTACTATATTTCAGCATCCACACCAACAGAATAGTAATGTTCTATTCTGTTGAAGGTTTTATTAGCACACACTGCAGTTATGTCATCTGCCACTTTAAAGGAACACTCCACTGTTTTTGAAAATAGGCTCATTTTCCAACTCCTCTAGAAGCTTAGCATAGATCATTGAATCTGATTAGACCGTTAGCATCTCGCTCAAAAATGACCAAAGTTTTTTGATGTTTTTCTGACGGAAGCAAAGTTCCTTGATTATTACACCGGAATGAGAGTATAGTTCCTAGCCATATCGGCCTAGAAAATCGCAGCTTTTCATTTTCCGTCGGTCTTAGTACACGATGTAACTACAGAAGAGTCAAGTTTTAAATAGGACAAATATAGAAACTCTTTGCGCATTTTTGAGCGAGATGCTAACGGTCTAATCAGATTAAATTATCTATGCTAAGCTACAGCTAAAAGTGCTACCGCCAGACCCGGAGATCGGCTGAATGGATTCGAAAACGGTAAAACGCAACTGTTTAACTCTAGGGGAGTTGGAAAATGAGCCTATTTTCAAAAATAGTGGAGTGTTCCTTTAAATGCTTTTGATTGACTGTCAATGGTTTTATCATTCATCAGCTGGAAAAACTGTTGTGAAAGTGATTCAAACAATATTGTTCCTCTGAGTCATTATTGCTAAAGTTGGGATGTTGACATCCCTATTCCCATAGAATAGATTTTTAAAACTTTATACTCATAGTTATCATCCTTAGTGTGCACAGTCAGACAACCAAAGAACCTCAGGCGGTGTGCTTTGGAGACATTTATGTACCATGTTTTTAGTAATGGGTTATTTCCTCTAAGTTGTCTTTTCTCTTTGACACACTAGTTAGTCTCTTTGCAGGCCATGATGGCTGTTCATGTTGTGTTATATTGCAATTTTAAGGAGACTTAAAGGAGTATAGCACAATCCCCTGAGCTCCAGAACATATTGTGGAAGCTTATGGGATTCAAATTCACTTATGGAGACTGTTTCCAGGGTTCTTCATATTCCATGGTTTCAATATTTGGTTAGTAGCTGTTCTTTGTTTAATTTACCATCTTATTTCATTTTTCATACAAGTTGTGTTTATGTGTTGGGTTTTCGACTCCACCATCCAAAGACCAATCCAGGAACTAATAAAATCTGCATTCTTCATTGCTGTTGTCTTAACCTTACGGCTTGGCAGGGAGCAGTAGTTGTAGCAAAGGGACTTGCAACAAGAGAACACTTCAATGAATGAGAAGGCAGGCAGCACAGTTGGAGGTCAAGTAGCAACTTTTTTGGAGGGTGGACTAATTTTGTTTAAGAGTTTACCCTTCAGTCTGCCATCAGCTCCTTGAACACCTCGTGAATTTGTTTTACTGTTGTTTGTGTGGCAGACTGGACCATCATTAAATACCATCAATTATGTAAAACTAGAAGCAGAATAAGCACCATCGAACTACCACATGAATTGTAGTAAATTTACAAGGAGATATATTATTACAGTTTGTTATATAGCTCTCAGGAATACTTGATTTTAATTGGCCACTTGTGTATTGTTATGGTCAAATACTTTTGATTATCCTACATGTGATCATTTCAGGCTTGTATCACTATGCTATCTCTTTCTTCTCACGTAACAACAACAACAATAATATTATTAATAATAATAATGGGTCCCACTTTATATTAAGTGGCTTTAACTACTATGTACTTCCCATATGGACTTTCTGTATGAAACCTTTGGTCCCACTTTATAGGTGGCCTTAACTACTATGTACTTACATTTTAATTAATTATTTGGTACACTTATTATGTACATACATGTTTTTACATTGTACTTATATTTTAAAAAATACCTGCATGTAATTACATCTGTAATTATTTTATGTAATTACATTTAGAATTACACTGGTGACCCATCCCTTACACCTTAACCCACCCTTAAACCA